GAATGTTTACTGAATCTGATGTGGCTAAGGTAGAACTCCATGGTAGACGAAAAAATAAGAGAAATTTTACAAAGTGTTGTTGCATGGTTCACCAACCAATAGCGGATCGGCTCAATGCTTTTTTGGTTTGCATTTGGCATTGCTCTCAGATATATGTGCTGCGCTGGTTCCAGGATTTGAGAGGCCACCATCTTGTTTACCACAGTTGTTAAACAAAAAAACGTTAAACTCAGTTTAACAAATTCAAATTATCCATAGATCTGCCACAGCCAGCACCGAGTGCAACTCTACCTGCCATCCTTGATGGCATTGTTAATACGATCAGATAGTGAATGTTTTGCCACTCAAAACTGTTGCTTTAAATCGTCATGCCACTCCTGCAGCTACCAAATACATTTTCTCTACTCCCTTACCCTCTGAACAACACATCTACAGTACCATATGTGGTTTCCATTGTTGACCGTGAAACAAAGTTGATCACGTGGTTATATACAAAATGAAATTCATGACTTACTTGCATGAACCTGTCATGGTTGAATCTGTGTCTCTAGAGAGAAAACATAGGGTGGCACCTTAAGCACACAAATGCATAGGTGCAGCTGTGATCAATATATAAGGATCATCTCTCGGTCATGCTTAACCCTGCATATACGCCCCAGCTGATCAGGGCTAAACAGACAGTTAAAGAGGTCCGTATGTATCTGATGGCGCCAAGGAGAAACTCCAAGACTGTTTTGAATGCTCTGACTGGAACATCCTCAAGGCTGCAGCAACCTATGGCAAATAATTAAATATTGATAAGTATGCCATGACTGTGTCAGCCTATATTAACAAATGCATTGAGGACGTCAGCATCAAAAAGAACATCACCACCCGCTCCAACCAACGACCGTGCCAGAAGATCCAGGATCTTGTCCACGACACCAGCACTTCAGTTCACCTTTTAACACCTTCATTCCACAGCATCTGATAGGAAAACTGGAACAGCTGGGCTTCAGTACACCCCTCTGCAATTGGCCGCTAGACTTCCTCACCAAAAGACCTCAGTCAGTCCGGGTCGGACAGATAACCTCTGATGTCATCATCCTAAGCACAGGCTCCCCTCAGGGCTGTGTACTGAGCCCCCTGCTGTTCACCCTGATGACACATGACTGCGTCCCCAGGTTTCACCACCAATCACATTGTGAAGTTTGCTGAAGACACCACAGTGGTGGGCCTCATCAGAGACGACAACGACCTGGACTACAGAAAGGAGGTGGAGCAGCTTGTGGGCTGGTGCAGACAACACTCTGATCCTGAACATGGAGAAGATGAAGGAGATCATCTTGGACTTCAGGAAGAATCAGCCTGACCACGCTCCACTGCTCATCAACAGCTCAGCTGTAGAGGTGGTCAACAGCACCAAATTCCTGGGGGTGCACATCACAGACACCCTCACCTGGACTGTAAACACCACCTCACTGATCAAAAGGGCACAAAAGCTCAGGTACTGCCTGAGGAGGATGAGGAGAGCCACCTGCCCCCACCCATCCTCACCTCCTTCTACAGAAGCACCATAGAGAGCGTTCTGACCAGCTGTCTCACTGTGTGGTGTGGAGGCTGCAGCATCGCAGACTGGAAGAAGGTGAGAAGAGTGGTGAGAAAAGCAGAGAAGATCACGGGGCTCCTCTTTCCTCCATAAAAGACATTTTATCCCAGCGCTGTGTCCCCAGCCCATAATATCATAAAAAATGACCCCTAGCACCCCCACCATGGACTGTTCTCCTTGCTGTCCTCTGGGAAGAGGCTTCGAAGCAACCAATGTAGGTCCAGCAGAATCCAGAACAGTTTCTTTCCCACTGCCATTAGACTGCTAAATTTTTATGTAAAACGGAAAAAAACAAACAAAAAAAAACCCTGAATGTTGGAACTGTACAGTAAGTATACAGTCAAATGTGTACATCATTTTATTTTTCATCACAATGTTTGTATCACTTCTGCTTATCCTTATTAAAGCTGCACTTTCAAAATAGCATTACTTTTCTTTATGGCCATAACGTAACCGATTAGTTTCATGCCAGTCAGGAACAACTGAGGCTTCACTTTTTATCACTCTGCTACAAATATGACTTCTACTAGGGACAATCATAGCTAGCCTAGTAAACTACCCCCACCCACCAGCGGCCAAAATCATTTTTGCCTGCGAATTTGGTCTAGCCTCCATCAACGCCCTAGGCCCTACAGTAGAACTGGTGGGCCAATCACAACGCAGTGATGTGTTTTGAATTTCTGGATGTAAAGCGGGCGGGGTTTTGAGGGCGTGACGACAAAGCTGCACGACGCTGTAAAAAGCACAACAGAGAAGATAGCAACAGCTATTGAACAGTAGCATGCACTGCAGCAGCAGCTTTCAGTGGAGCGTCACTATATGGTCCATTTACCGATGTAATGCGTAATTAAAAAAAAACAATTTCCAAAGTTGAGAGGACCACGGCAACCAGCGGAGCTCCGAGGCCCTCTCTCGGCATAGTCGTGTGTGAAGGACCGCTCGTTCTGATGGTGATTTTCGAATGAGCTTTGGAATCAGTTTTGGAAGGATTAGACTTGGGGTTTTCATTGGAACGTGAGCAGGAAGAGGCTCTATTCATTCCTTTTTAAGAAGGACGTATTCGCCGTTTTATCGACAGGCTGTTTGTTTATACTCCCTAACCAGCTTCCTGTGGCGCTTCGTACGTCACAGTCAGTTGCGCTCATTGGTCAGAGCGTTGGCCAATAGGCACAGACATGGTTTGAAAAACAACAGGTTGTTCTAAATTACACATTTAACCTCACATTTAGTCTGGTTTATCAGGCTAAATCATAGCTGCTTTTAAAAAAAAAAAAGTTTCCTTCCAATTTGATTTTCTAATAAATTGAAGTTAACTTTTTATACATTTAAAGTATTTAACCCAAACCTGGGACCTTTGGCTTGAATTTAGGAAGTTCCTAATGTGCAAGCATGGGTTCCTATTGGGTACTCTTGAAATACATCACAGTTAGGTTCACTACTGTACATGTTCCCCTGTGATTAACTGGCAACCTCTCCAGAGTGTATCTCTTCTTGCTCATTAACCAATGACAATAGGCACAAGCCTGACTTCAACACATAAAAAAAAAACAGTTTAAAGTATATGTATCTTTTTCTTCTTGACATTAGTGTGCGATCACTGAATTACTAATGACTAGTTGTCATTGAAAAACCAGCTGAACAAGTTTGACCACCTGAAATATTGAGTTAACCTTTGTTATACTAAATAGATCATTCTGCAATAAATCATGACTTATTTCTCATGCTAATACTGGAAGCAAATGACTGGAGGTAAGAAGCTGCTCAAATAAAGTCAATATCCAAATACATAAATACAAACATTTTATTTCTGCCCGTTTACAGGTCAATAATCTTGTGCAGGGGGGACAGAGGTATAAGCGGAAAATGAATGTTCACCTGCAGCTTAAAGAGGAGAAGCTGCAGCTCTTCCTGGTTTTTACATCTCTTCCCCATAATTTGCATACCGTCACCAAATAAAACTGGGGAAGGCATGCAATGCATGTAATTTCTTCTTCTAACACCAGAGTTTATCACCTAAATCTCTTTAGGTGTCTTTTTCAAACATATTTCCCTTCAGCAAGTATTCATACCTGTTAGACCTTTGCACTGGTTGTCAATTTACAAAACAAAAAACTTCAGTGTGCTTAGTTAGGATTTGATTTTATTGGACCAAAGCACAATATAATTGGGAACCCGCAGTTAGATAATGCATGGTTGATACTCCCTGTGTCCGTTTTTTAATCTCAGTACAAATACAAGTGTTCCTTTAAGATTTAAACATGAAAAAATAAAGGTCCATCCAGACAAACTGTTTTTCTGTCCAGCAACACACAGATACTTAAACTAGAGATTCAAACAACTGTAGATTCATCTGTCAGAATGGCTTCTCTGTTAGGGACTGTGTTGCACACTTTTTAGATAGTTTGGTTAACACATTGAAAAACAAATGCAATTTCCTTCAAAGTTAGAAATATGTCATGCCCTACAATATCCACCACACTCAGCAAACACTGTGGTAACTATGCGCAAAGTTTGGAGGATTTTTTTTTTTTTGCAGTAAAATTCTGCAAAGTTTTACTGGCCTAATTTTTATTTTACTAGAAAAATGCATTTTCTGCTTAGAAAAGTAGCTTTTTTCCCCTTAGATAAGACAGATGCTTCACTGGGAACCACATGAGGAGCCCCATGACACGCATTTGTCCCACTGATTCCCGCCTGAGAAACCCACCAATTCTTTCCACGCACTCGTGCGCTCATGTGAACCCGGAGCTCCGCAGCATCACCAGCAGCAGCAGAAACAGCCTGAACCCATCTGCTCTGCAGGCTCAGATGACCCCAGGCTACATTCCTTCACTTGGAGCTATGGCGAGCATGCGGGGGGACTCGTTTTGATGACTTCGATGAAAATGTGAATAAACGGAGAGGCTTTTCCTTGAAGTTTGACAGCACATAACATTCTCCGCTAACGTGGATAAAAAGTGCTGCTGGTTCACAGCAGGAGTGGCAGCTTCATGACGCGTAAAGGCGCCCCTCCCCCTGTCAACCATCGAGGAGGAAAAACTTTCTCTCCTCTCACTTTTAACTTTCCTTATGTTGCCGCTGCCACAGTAAGGGGATCAAAAGAAGCAGAGAAGTCTGGACATGAAAACCTTCAGCGAGTAGAGGAAAAGAAATAATAAAAAAAAAAAAGACTCCTTAGCTTATTATACGTGATTTATCTCCAGAGCGCGCGGCATCATGAAGCCGCTGCTGCGCTTCAGCTTCTCTCCATGGACTATCTTGGTCTTTTGCGCTCTCCTCCAGGTAGGAAAACTTCAATCTTAACTTTTTTCTCCCTGTAAAACATAAAGCAGTGTGGGTTTAGACCAATGCTGGAAAAAAAAGAAGCGGTAACAGAGGTAGGGCGTTTCTTTTTTCTCTTTTAATAATGTGATTTCACAGGTGTGCCTGCACCTGTTGCGCAGGTAGCAGCTGACTTATAAAAGCAATTAGTTTCAGCATAATCACTCAGAAAGCAGGCCAGATGTTTTAATGGGAATTCAACAGACGCTATATAGAATAAATAGCATGGGTTTAATAATACATTTTGTATGAATACCAGGATATTATGGGGTTAAAGGAAATGAGCAGGTAGATAAGGCAGCAAAAGAAGCTGTTAGAAATTTGGCAGTGGATTTAATTAATAATTTTAGTAAATTGGAAGTTAAAAATGTTAGTTAAGCAGAAAATGAAGGGTAAATGGCAAAAGGAATGGGAGAAAGGAAAAAAGGACTTAGGTTTTTATAACATTCAAAAAAAAAAAGAAGAACAGGAAAGACAAGAAGAGAAGAAACAATTATTTCTGGATTGAGTTTTGGTCACACTGGATTAAAGAGTGCTCTGTTTATTTTAGGCAAACATAGGGATGGTAAATGTCAATATTGTGGGGTAGATGAAACAGCAATGTTGTACTGTAATAACTATGAGGAGGAGAGACAGCAATTAATTTCAGTTTTAAGTAAAGTAAAAGTTAAATTAGATTTATCTGAATTATTCGGAAGTCATTCAGACAGTAACATTTATAGGATAATATTTCAATATCTAAAAATAACTCATTTGTATAATGGAATTTAATTCCTGAGAGTCATTCCGGTGAACACTCTATTCCAGTAGATGGTGGAAATGCATCAACCTGTTGTTTGCCAACCGCCAAAGAAATTTAAAGAAGAATAAGAAGCCTTATACAAGCCTTTCATAGAAAACAGCTTTATTCCACTGTCACTGTAAAGGAGGTCAGAAACGTTATGTGCCAATATGTTTACCTGGAGATAAAAATGTATAAAATACTATTATTTTGGGACTAATGTAGAAGCCTAATTATAGCTGTTGAAATGCACAAAGTTGTACTATGAATCAATTCATGAATAATATAAAAAGGAGGTGTTGATATACAATTTGTTTAAAGAGCCTGAGAGAAAATATACCAATAACATGTATAAACAGTTAAGGCTGGAAACATTTAAAGTAAAAAAAAAATATGTTTTTGCTCATAAGGCTGGTTGCAGGTCACTAATAATATGCATTTGGATGACAAAGATTCATAAACTCTCTAAGAATAAGAAAGAAACATGTGGCCACACTTTTGATTTTGTCTTATTTAATTGATTTTATTTATTTTTTGCAGTTTTTTACAATAATTAGTTGATATTTTACAACTGAAAATGGTGCAAAAACAAGTTGCCCACTTTAGACTCCATTATAGGCAGTGTAAGGAAGTAGGTGCATTACATAAGTTCCTTTAGCAAGGGAAGCTATGTAACTAAACTTTCATAAAAGTTAGAAAAACTATTATTTTAAGGCCGTAATAAATAAAATCCATGGAAGATTTACAAAAATGTTGTGCCGTCAGAATGTGACAGATTTAAAGTTAAAAAAATGCCCAGTAGTTGAGTAAAACGTTTGGTCTATAGGTCACAGATAAAGGTAGGTAACTTTATAGTATTATCATTTCAAGAAAAGTCTATTTGCCGTCCGATAAAAGAAAAACAAACTTATAGTTTCAACTTGATCTAATTAGGTGCAAACAACTGATTGAAATGGAGAGATGTTGGTAAGTTGATAAGTTATATATCACCAGTTATATATGTGCAGTCACTATGACAGCCTGCGTTGACCTCTAAAATAATAAGATGTATGCAGGTTGATCTTTAGTTATAAACAAAGACAGGAAAAAAATCTTTGTTAGAGGAGTGAAACAAAACACTTTTTGTGTTTAATTACGCCTTAGACATTTAGTTTTCAGTTATTCTTAACACTAAATGTCTAGGTTCTGAGTCTGATTGAGGTTTTAAGAGGTTTTAAAATCATTTGAAATCCACCTTTATACAGTAATATACAGTAATAATTGAAAATAAAAAAAAAGCTCAAAGAAACTGAAATCCTATCCAGGTCTGCTCGTCCAAGCAAGGTGACCCTGAGAGCAGGATGTAAGGTGCTAAAAGAAGTCTTCAACAAACCTTTTTTTCATGGGACCAACTGTAGCTCTAGCTATTTGATACGAGGATGTCTGTCTTTGCAATCCTAAAAGTGTAGCACAACCTAATATTTGCCATCTACTCTTTGTTTACTAAATAAAACACTCCTCTCTCAGTGATAAAACGTGAACATTTCTCACTTGGAAATTAAATATATAAGTGGAATTTAAGCCTAATTTCTTCTGACCTAACGGTTATATGGCTAGATAAATCCCTCAAATATAGCCAAATGAACAATAATAGATTGCAGGTCATAGGTGGCATTTAATTGTCATGAGATGTTAGAACCTGGAAAAATAAATGTTTAATTGTTGTCACATTTTTGTACACTTCAAGAATTTTAAGTGGAATTGGTTAGTCAGAATGATTATACAGTTTCCACTGGAATTAACAATGCAGTTTTGTTCATGGGAATTAATTGAGAAAATGTAGTGCTGCATTGTTGATTTGTAATAATAATTAAACCGATGCGTGGTTGTGGGTATAGAAATATGCGAGAAATGCATTCATTCTTCATAGTTTACTTTCCAAATGATTCATACAGTTTGACTAATAACCTCCCTCATATTGGGCTGCAACTAACGATTATTTTGCACATTGATTTATCTGTCAATTATTTTCTCTAATAATCGATTAATGATCAGATAGCCAAAGGTTCCTCATAGGATGTTTTTCTTTTACAGAATTAAACCAGATGAAACTTTTCTACTTGTGGAGTTCTGGAGATGACAAACTTTTTTTCATCTTAAATGCAAAATGTCTATATATTTTTATATTTTGGTATAATTTCTGCTCTAAGTGGGTCACTCTGTCAAATAAAGGCATATTTTACAGTCTCTATAGTCCAGTTAACGATTAGCCGATTGCTAAATTGGTTTCAATAATTTAAATAATCAATTAATCACGATTAATCCAATCAATTGTTTCAGCCCTACCCTCATAACACAAAATCTAGTTAACTGACACAGTTAATTCTTGTATTAGTCTCTAATATTAATGAAGGACTGCATATCTGACTAGAGCTGTAAATTTGAATGATTTGAAAAATCCATTCCTCCCAGGCAGGGAACTATCACAACAAAGAGACTGAGGCATCCTGGCAGCCTCCCTAAGACCCACCTGTCCCCGTCCCACTGGTCTGTCTAGTGAGAGAAGGAGGGAGGGGTTAGAGAGGTTGAGAATGGCATGTGAGGAGATGTGTGGCCAACAAAAAGGGGTCAGGAATGGAATGAGGTGCCGCTCAGTCCCCTTTTTAGCCAAATCTGGGCCGGAGCCAGTAGGATCATCAAACCAGTACTCTGTGTTTTTGGCTAAAATAACCGGTATGGAATCTGTTTTTTCAGATGCATTTAGAAGCAGAACTTCAGCATTAATGTGAAAGCTGATAAGGATTGCCTTAGTTTCTGTAGTAGGACAAATTATCCCCTTTTCTTTAAGACATTAAGGTTGAAACATCCCAAAAAACAACTTTGGCTTTTTATTTCTAACTGGTTTATGTGGGACATGACTAGACGTAGATCTGTTTCCTCCAGTTGTATGAAGCATAGAGTTGAGTAGACATGAAAAAGGGCTGCTACGCTCTTAGATCTTGTTCAAATATCATGAAACTACAATTATAAAGCAGGGCCGTCCTGGCCCAGTCAGTTGACCCAATAAACTCAAATCCGTCAACAACAATGTATTAGCTGCTGTTTAAGACAACTTCTCTTTGTAGTAAAAAAAAAAAAAAAAAACAGCTCCATTTGGAGCTGCATAGTTAAAGTTCTGCACAACAGATGGATTAAAAAGGATGTGACCCTAATCTGATACTCTGTTCTCCTTCCCCCTCATCATTCAACACCTGTGTTAATCAGCATGGAACCTCTCTTAAATGTCAGGAAAGGTGACTTAAACAAATGTGGAACTGACTTGTCTGGGACCCGCTTATCTAGAAACATAAAATGGAACAAATATTTTCATCAACAAAAAGGCAGTGTTTTTCCTCACATCGTTTCATATGAAGTTATGGAAACTGACTAGTTTATCTAATTGGAAATTCAGCCTCTGTGTCACATCAATGCAGGCTTTCGATTTTACAAAACAAACAACTCCACATTCAGTTAATTTTTAATTTACATTTAAGGAATAATGACATCCTTTATTTCCTTGCATTCATAGCAGATACATTTTTTTTACAGGTTTATCCAGGTAATAGCTGTAAAATGTGTGAAGGACAGCTTCAAAGTTTACAACGTATTGTTTCCTATTAAATTCTTGAAAATCATTGAGCATCGATCTACATGGTCTGTTTATCCAATTGTTAATCTTACAAACTTCCTCATCCCTGAAAATTCCCCAACTGATCCAAAGATGTGCTGTCTTCCTGGACTATGCACCTTTTCACCTTAAAAAAAAAACCCAAAGTACTAAATTATTACCCCACTCAGCTCAGAATAGTTCTTATTTTTTAGGTTCACTGGATTCTCTCCCATTATCTGAGCCTATGACACAATACATGTATTTTTTTGGTGGGGAAGTGAAAATGCAGCGTACCATTCATTCAATCAGCTTCTAAGAAGACCCGGCCTGCAGGGATTCGCATGGTCGACTTCTGCATGCAAATATGACAGTGGCAAGAACACAGCTGGTATCAGAGGTGTTAGGAGATGGAAAGACATCCAGATCACCTACTTTGATCTGTAACAGAAATACTCACTTAATTCTCACTTGCTTAACTGTGAATCTGAGGATGTTAAGCCATATGCAGCAATCAGGATTTTCTTGTTTGAAAAAATAGGTGTTGCATTTAAA